ATCTCATGAGAGCCCTATATACACTATATTGCCAAAAGTATTTGCTCACCTGCCTTGACTCACATATGAGCTTAAGTGACATCCCGTTCCTAATCCATAGGGTTCAATATGACGTCGGTCCACCCTTTGCAGCTAGAACAGCTTCAACTCTTCTGGGAAGGCTGTCCACAAGGTTTAGGAGTGTGTTTATGGGAATTTTTGACCATTCTTCCAGAAGTGCATTTGTGAGGTCGCACACTGATGTTGGACGAGAAGGCCTGGCTCTCAGTCTCCGCTCTAATTCATCCCAAAGGTGTTCTATCGGGTTGAGGTCAGGACTCTGTGCAGGCCAGTCAAGTTCATCCACACCAGACTCTGTCATCCATGTCTTTATGGACCTTGCTTTGTGCACTGGTGCACAGTCATGTTGGAAGAGGAAGGGGCCAGCTCCAAACTGTTCCCACAAAGTTGGGAGCATGGAATTGTCCAAAATGTCTTGGTATGCTGAAGCATTCAGAGTTCCTTTCACTGGAACTAAGGGGCCAAGCCCAGCTCCTGAAAAACAACCCCACACCATAATCCCCCCTCCACCAAACTTTACACTTGGCACAATGCAGTCAGACAAGTACCGTTCTCCTGGCAACCGCCAAACCCAGACCCGTCCATCAGATTGCCAGATGGAGAAGCGCGATTCGTCACTCCAGAGAACGCGTCTCCACTGCTCTAGAGTCCAGTGGCGGCGTGCTTTACACCACCGCATCCGACGCTTTGCATTGCACTTGGTGATGTATGGCTTGGATGCAGCTGCTCGACCATGGAAACCCATTCCATGAAGCTCTCTGCGCACTGTTCTTGAGCTAATCTGAAGGCCACATGAAGTTTGGAGGTCTGTAGTGATTGACTCTGCAGAAAGTTGGCGACCTCTTCGCACTATGCGCGTCAGCATCCGCTGACCCCGCTCCGTCAGTTTACGTGGCCTACCACTTCGTGGCTGAGTTGCTGTCGTTCCCAAACACTTCCATTTTCTTATAATACAGCTGACAGTTGACTGTGGAATATTTAGGAGCGAGGAAATTTCACGACTGGATTTGTTGCACAGGTGGCATCCTATCACAGTTCCACGCTGGAATTCACTGAGCTCCTGAGAGCGACCCATTCTTTCACAAATGTTTGTAAAAACAGTCTGCATGCCTAGGTGCTTGAATTTATACACCTGTGGCCATGGAAGTGATTGGAACACCTGATTCCAATAATTTGGATGGGTGAGCAAATACTTTTGGCAATATAGTGTATGTCTAATAGTGACTGTCTATCTGCACCCCAATTATTTCCAGCCACAGCTTTTAGTAGATTTATAACTTCCTTACATTTAATTTCCAAGTTATCTGTATGTATTTTCCATGCATAAGAACTATCCAACCATAGTCCTAGATATTTCAATGTTGCTACCGTTTCCAACAGCTGTCCATATAATGTTATTGTTCCCATTTCAATACTTCTCTTTTTTGTAACAATTATAAAACAAGACCTGCTTGCTGATAATTTAAAACCCTGTTCATAAGACTTATTTTTTTCCTCTATTAATTGCTTTCTTAATATTTCCTACCACATATCTTAAATTCTTTACCCTCATCCATAGACCTAACGAACTGATACACAAGGGGAAGATATATACTGGCTGGTGAGGCCATTTACATACATTTACCTGAAAAAAAAAAAATACAAAAAAAAAAGAGCAAACTAATCTATACAATACAAAATCAGAAAAGTGAGAGAAAATAACTCAAGGAATTAAACTCTAATTAAAACAAAAACCTACCAAAATGGCAAAACTTTAACTTTTCCACACCTCTTCTAAAAATAAGTGGAATATTCCGAACAAGTTTCTGCACCACTGACATTATTAAAGTTTGAAATACCAGAATTTGTACATAAATATGTCTGATTACATCACTTGAAACACATTAGATTTAACAAGGCAACAATTACTCAGTGCTTGAAAGGTAATTTTACCAAGAATTCTTTTTTTATTATTTTTACTTGAGTAATTTCTTGTCTACTTTTACATGAGTTAAAATGTTGAATAAAATGCTTTGGGTTCCACAGTATACCTATACCTTCAAATAAAACTCCACTAAAACATTGTGTTTATACACTTTTTTCAGGATCATAGTTGAGAAGTAATTCTACAGAAGCCCTGAAAAGCAAGTAAAAAAAAAAGGCAAGTTTTTCCTGTTTTTTTCTTGCAATAATTTATTTTGCCACTAGAGGCCCTGATGTCAAAAGACAGTCACTCACAGCTGTGCTCTTCATCTGTATAAAGTCAGAGAGGCCTGGTTTTCAAGATTTATGTTTAAGCAATAGAGCAATAGAGAATTATTTGCAGGGATGATCCAGCTTATTTGTAGGACATCATCATAACTGCTGTTTCTTTGGATAAAAACTGTATTTCCAAGAAAACCTTAGACTAGCTGTAAGTCAATGCCTATCAATCACTTACCTTAAAATTAAGTTAGACATGAGTTTAAGAAATAATTTGTTAACTATTTAAATATTAATCCTTCAGTTATAATAATTCAAATATGCAGAAAATAATACAATAAAATAAAACTTCAAACTTTTCCATATGTTTCAGAAAACTCTAACAATATGACAAGTTGGAGTCATGCACCTTAAATTCCCTCTCCCAGGATCAATTTCAATATATTTATGCTACCAGATTTTTATAAATAGAAAAAGTTGTCCATTCTTCTTTTACCATTACTATGAAAAAGTACTCCCTAGATATACAACAATCTGTGTAAGGTTTACTCTTAACCAGCATAGCATACAAATATATTATAGAGCTGGTTTAAACTAAATGTATTATCACAGACAAAAAAAAAGTCAAGGGATAGAAACAGTGAATCTCACTGTGATATTATGGCTCTTTAACACACACTGTATGAACAGGTATTGTTAGGGTAACAGATCGATCAGCAGCATATCTAAAACTTCCTTCATCCTTCTTTTTATATATTTATGCTAAACTTAAACAGTAAGAAATTAAATATAACAAAAAACAAAAAATCGTCTAAATTTAATAGCCTTAGGAATCAAACAATCAGCATATGTTCTATTAAAATAAATACTCCAGATAAAGAGATATATGAGGCTGCTTTTTTTTTTATTGCCAAGAAACTCTGAAGTCTGGCAAAAAAAAAAAAAAACGCAAAGATGCACAAAGAGGCTGCAGAGACAAGCATTCAGGAATAGAAATCATGCTCAAGTTCAAAACTGGTTGCTGAGAGACAGAGGAATAAAGAGCAAGCTTTTCTGTGATTGCATCATAGCTGTTAAGTACCACAACATAAGCTACAAGGAAGTACGATCATAACAGAGTTCAGAGAGCACATACACAATGTGTCCAACTGAGGGCTCAGTTAGGGGTTAGGGACAACATAAGACAAGCAGCCTTAGAGAAACTACATTTACACAGAGATCTGTAAAGCTTTTCAAATCTTATTAAGAACCTTATATTCCATAAATTACATAAAGTGGCAAATGTAGTGGTTTGAAACTGACCTACAAAAGATGCAATCCATAATAGCAAGAACTTACCTACAACCTAACAAGGATATATAATTCCTTACAGTTAATGTGTTAAATATGTTGGTGAAGTTTCTCTGTCATCCAGGTCATAGTTATTCCAAAAAAAAAAAAAGTAAAAAACAATCCACTGTACTTTGTTCCAGATTTTAAGACATTTTGCTTCCCATTCAGGAAGCTTTTTCAATTCAAGAGATGAAAAAACTAAAACTTGTCCACACCTCTTCTAAAAACAAGTGGCAGAGTCCGAACAAGTTTCAGAGCCACTGAGATTATTTGCAGCTGGGACTCCTGCTTCACCGCCCCAGCCAAGCCTACATGGCAGCCTCACAGGAACTGGACACTCAATAGAAAATAATTAGTTCTAAATAAATCATACAAGAAAATTGTGGCAAAACGAGTCAACCAAATGTGTGCACCCAAATAGCCAACCAATGCCAAATCATTAGTAAAAAGAAACAAAACCAACATGGTAAACAAATATATCCAGGAAGTTTTTTCAATTAAAGTGATGATAGTGGGAAGGGATTAACTCAATAGCTGCATTGTAGGTTTTTGAAAGCTGAAAGTCCACCTCTTCTGTTTAAAGCTGGCTTTTCTTTCTTAACATGGCTTCCTTCATGCCCTTAAAACCACCTATTGTCTTTGTCAAAAATGTGAACATTCTGGTCCTCAGGACCAGACATTCTTTTGAGCAATTGAGCTGATCCCTTCCCGCTATCATCGCAACCCCTTTAGCCCGGCATACACTGTGCAATTTTTTTTCAATCGTTCCACGCAGCTGCTGCTCACACTGTATGACTAAACACAGGCTTTAGTCGTACAGGGTGAGTTCACAGCTCACGATTTATGTTCGGTCCGTCAATTTTGCAGACGGATCTGCATTTCACTCATTGCATCCCTGACACACTACTGTGTTTACATCTGAGAGGAAGAATAAAAAGAAGAAGCCTTGTTTGTGCATGTGCACTGAGCAATTTACCCACGACGGTCGGGAGAAAATCCGACCTCACAATTCCTGATCAGGAGGTGGTCGTGAGAGGCTGATCGGTGCTCGTAACCCCCTGTACACTACACAACTCACGGCGAACGATCAGGCTGAAAGCCGACCAGATTGAAAGATTCTCGCATGACTGGAAAATTGCCCCGAAAATCGCACAGTGTACGCTGGGCTTTACAGGAGAGCAGAAGACCTCGCCTATTCAGCCAGGCCAACAATGCCCTTTAACAACAACCCTTTTAGAGACATTGTAAGGTATGGGTCACACATTGACAGGCTAACAAAAGAAGCCAAATGCCCCATTCCAAAGGGATGGAACCCTTCATCCATTTCAATTTGCATGTTTTCAAAACAAAAATAAGGTTTTGATGGGCCACTGTATAAAACCTCGAACTCAACACTATTCCTGAAATTTTGAAATAAAAAAGCTTCCTGGATGGGAAGCGAAACATCTTCAAACTTGGAAACAAAGTTCATTGGATTTTTTTTTACTTCTTTTTTTTGAGTTTTTAAATATGCTTGTTATAAACAAATACAATCTATAAATATCTTATATACTAAAAAGTATCACAGATACATACTCATGTCTACAAAAAAATATCTTGTAAAGCTTATTCATTATTGTAGTATCCAAAGCTGAGAATCAAGCATTCTCTTCCTTCTTCACCACAGATCTGGCTCCACCCAGACGATCTTCCTCTGCTCCTCCCAGATGATGGTGCGGAGGCTGGTCAGCAGCGAGTTGAGGTCACACCAGGAGTCAGGTGCCATGCTGTGGTACAGACACGGCAGCTTGTCCAGCAGCGGCTCCTCGCTCTTCAAACATGACAGCAGCTGTTCCTCCGTCTGGCCTTTACGCTGCAGCTTTGACCTGCAGCACGAACATTTTAAAACTGGAGCAATAACTTTCAAACATGCATCATTTCAATAGAGTTCCTTACCGCATAATTTATGTTGAATATCATGGTTTTGTAAAAATGTAATAAATCTGTACTGTCAGGCCGTATTCTTAAGTAAATATTTAACTGCTAATCATATATAAGGGGAAAATGTAGTTTATTTTAATTAGGAGTCAAATTAAGACCTCATTTAACAATAGAATGTCATAATTTAAAGTAAACCCATCTTTGAATGAAAATATCTTTTGGGAGCAGTTTTTTAAAAAGATTGTGATATTAACAATTGTAAGCAAATAGCTCAGCAATGTGACCACTTTCCTGTCTGTGGTTTTAATGTTACAGTCCTAGAGAAGTTAAACCCGTCAAACCATTTTCCCATTTGTTCATCCTTAACCTTAAAGGTTCATGCATTTAATAGGAATGTTTTTTTAGATAGGCCAAGGTGTAACCTTTTGTAAAAAAAACACACACACCAAAAAAACAGGAGTGTCTGGGTTACATTTGTCCACAGTACTTCCCCCTCAAGACTTTGTAAAGCCACATTTCGTTAAAACAGCAACTTTTTTCTTTTTATAACTCCATTAGAAATAAACTATTTTCACACTTAAGCATATTTCAATCTAAACTCTTCCATGAAAGCCTTTTGTATGTTTACAGCTATTTTCCTTTTAGATTATCAGCCTTTGTCCCAGCCTTCACCTAGGAGTTAAGGATTGCCTTATATTTGGCTTTATTAAATTTTCCCATTAACAAGGACTGATTTCAAAGGCAATATTTTTTCTGCCTGCTTATTGTTGTCCTCACACTGTCAAAAGTACAGAGCAACTAAATTCACTCTTTACATTTAACCCATCCACTTGTGGAGCAGCGGGCTGCCATTGTGCAGCACCCAGGGAGCAGTGTGGGGTTAAGGGTCTTTTGCTCAGGAAGTTGCAGTCTACTCGAACTCAGAACCTCAGGATTCCCAGCTCTATGCCCTAACCACTAGGCTGCCACTCCCTCTTTTTTTTTTGACTCATTTGTGCTGGAACAGGGATGCCTCTAAAACCTGCAAGACAGCAGATCTTAAGGACCAGTGTTTGAGACCCTACTTTAACACAAAAGTGATCTCTGCAGCTCCTGTTGCCTGAAAATTAATCTGCTCACCTGCTGCTGCTCAGCCTTAAATTAACTGGATTTAAACCATAATTGCAATGTTGCTCATTATACTGCAAATCTTCTTACTAATTAGGCAACTTCTGAAGGAAATCATTTGCAGTGGAATTAATTTACAAGTATTGAGTTTAGGGCTGATTAATGAAACTTTAACTTACTTTAAAAACCATGAACTATATTACTACCATTGAGCTACCATTATGCACTACGCTTTGTTGCCCTATCACATAAAATAACTGCAACACAACTTGTAAAGACGTTTGAAGGGTGTCAAAGTATAAGCCAGAAAAAGACAAAATACCTCAGTTTACGCGCACTGCGCGCAGATACGCCAATGAATATGATAATTGGAAAGATCTCGTAGCGGTGCAGCCGACGCACACAGTCCAGGCCTAAGGGCAGCACACAGTGAAGGCCCTGAAAGAAGAAGATGGATGGGGGGTGTTATATGCCTGCCAAATCAACATCCATCACTCGTCTGTAATACTGCTGTCAGCTGATAGGCTTCTGTCTCTTCTGCTTGTTTATTTGGTTTTTATTGCCTCTAGATGAACCACAACATGGAGGTGGAGAAGTGCATATATAGACAGATACAAATTATTCAATCTAACAGCAATGAGGCGGCAAACAGATTGAACTTAGTTCCATTACTTTTCTTTACAAAAGATGACTGACTCCTAGTCATTAAAGCATTGGAGGTTTTCCTGACCTTTTTCATGACCTTGTCAACACTCTGAAGGGTGAAGCACTGATTTCCGCCCGGTTCAACCTCCTCCAGAATCTCAGACCTCTGGAGTCGAGCGGCATGCTCGCTGGAGGTCAAAACCTCTGCAGGAAAAAGGAAAAACGCATAAAGGAGGAGGTGAGAGGAAAAGAGCTCCCACGAGACAACAATGTGTTGGTCATCCTAAGGACTGATTATTTGACTCTCTCAGTTACATGTTCTTGTTCACTGCTATTGAAATCATCAAACTTTCCGTCAAAGGTCAACAAATATTTACTGTAACCTGCTGAACATCGGCACACATTCGCTATTTATAGCTGCTGTGGTTTAAAATAAATATTTACCCACCAAGTTTATTTCCTTCTTGAATTATCATTACAGACAAAACCTTAAAATGTTTACACCTGTCCAGTAAGAGACCAGATTATTTACAGAGCTGGCCAGACACAGCATCACTTCAGTGTAAAGTCGGAAGTAGAGGAAGAGATGAGTCATTAATCTCAGCAATAAAATGTCTACAGAACAGACGGTGGGTCCAAATGGCCTTCATGGCCTTTAAACTGAGTCACATTTTGTCACGTTATAGCCGCACACACTTTGTTTAGCACTATTTGGATTTTAAGCAACAGACCAACAACAAGCTTTGTAACACTGGAAGGAAAAGGATAAATAGTTTAAAAAAATGTTTAAATTCAAATTTGAAGAGTGATGTGTGCACCTCTCCCCCTTTACTCTGATGCTGGTAAATAAAATCTATACAATTGGTAAAAATAAGAGTTCGAATGTGTTGAGCTTAATGTCAACATGAAACCAGCCAATATGAAACCATCTTTTTCACAGGTTCTACATTACTTTGTTGGCTTATTACGAAAAATGAAAAAGACACATTGAGGTTTAAGATTATAAAAGGAAAAATTGTAAAAAAAAAAAAAAAAAACCCAAGAGGAACAGAGAATTGTATGCACTGTGTTACAACCTGTTTCCTTGTGGCGGTTCTAATGAGGCTATAGCATTTCTTACCAGGCTCACAGAGTTGGAAGCCCTGCCAGCTGGCCAGCTTCTTGTCCAGCATGCGGCCCAGTATTGTAGGCAACAGCAGGATAGGTCTGCAGACTGGAGGGAAATGAGGTGTAACCAGGGTGAAGGGCATGAGGGTTACACAGCTTTTGGATGCTGATGGAGGACCTTGAGAGGTGGAAGGACAGAGAAAAAACGTTTTATAAATACTGCAGTAGCAAAGTCGAAGTAGAGATGAGGATTTTCCATATGTGACTGTACTGCTGTAGTTTACCGTACCTGACTCTGTGCTCTTGTTGTTTTCCTCCTCCACACTGACCCACAGAGGGTTCCTCCCCTGACGCCCTGTGCTTACAATTCTCACAACCTTCTGCTCGCTTTGTGTGTTCAGTCGCCCAACCTGAAATGAGGAGTTTTCCAGGATCGACTTTAAACACTGATCTCTTGATTTGTCAACTGGCTTGTGTTTTTTTTTTTTTTTTACCTTTTGACACTTTTTTGTCTGAAAGCTCATATCTTCAATTGTTTGAATCAATAGTCTTTGCGCCCTTTAACAGAAAGAAATCTGTTATTACTCCATAAATGTCATCATCTTGACCTTTTATGATCTGCTACAGGCTCACAGCAGTGCACCAACCTGTAATAATTGGGTACAGTACCGCTCTGGAGATCGAGCAGCTTACACGGGTGGACTTGGCTGGCATGCCACAGATCCTCAGTGCCAGCAGGTCGTGTGTTTGTCACATGTAGGATATCATTGCAGGACACGGCCAAGGTCCAGCTGGCACCGGCAGAAAGGGATAGATTGACCCGAATGTAGAAGGAGTCTCCTGATGACATCTTGCTGTTCTGCAGCTGCTGCAGCAGAGCCTCGTAGTCTGTGAGGCATAATAACAACACTAAACACACTGCAACGCCACGTGGACTCCTTTGTTAAACTTTCCCCTTTTGCATATGAAGATTTTGATCTTGCAAAATTCATCATTATTAATTCTTATTTTTTGAGGTGAGATTAGGTAACGTCCTTTCAAAACAGTGGTCCACACAGCTAGTTAAATGTTGATAACTGCTTTCTTTGATAGATACACACCATATTTAGTTTCGAGTTGAGTAAGTTATTTTTTAAAAACTATACAGCATTCCTTTTTTAAGATGTCCCTTTTTTTTTTTTTTTACTGTAAAACTATTTTAACTTTTTTGTATTTCATGCGGACATCACGGGCACTAGGGTGTTTGCAACACCTGAATGAATTGCTTTGGATGGATGAGTTTATACTTTTGGTAAAATGCTCCATAGCCCATTAGAAAAGTTGACTGAGGTCAACTGGGGTTCACACTGCATGAATCTAGAGCACAGACTGCCATAAGCTGAAGCAAGCCTTCTATTGATAGATCAAACATCAGAAAAATAAAGAAGCAACAGATGGAAAATGAGAGGTGCTCACACTTGTATTTGCATTCGAAGTGAAAGTCTAGAGCACTGAAAGGAATGTAGATGGACTGCATGCTTCTCTGGAAGTCTACTGCACCTTTGTGCTGATTAAGTTAAGCAGCGTGAGTGCAGCTAAGATCTGAAAGGGAATCCAGTCAACAGCCACCTTTATTTTTAGCTGAAATTGGTAGTGTTTACCTTTAGTTTCTAAAAAAAAAATAAAAAAAATAAGAGGAACTTCACAATAACAGAATCAAAGATGTTAAGAACTGAATGGATGCTGGAATCTTAAAGCTTTCCAAAAGAGTAAAAAAAACAACAAATCCCCTGGACTTGGTTTCAAAGTTTGAAGACATTTTGCTTCCCATCTGGGAAGTTTTTTTTTTTAATTCAAAATGTATTGAATTGAAAGAGCTTCCTGGATTTTTTTGCATGACTATATGACCTGAATGAATCTTCACCAGCGATCTTAAAGCTTAGATTAAAATGCATTATATGATGTTTAGTTTATAACTCCATGATTTCTTTACTCCACTTTAATGCAGCAGCTGTTTTTAATCATTGGCATAACTGACAAATAGTGAAACACAGAAACAAGTCTTTGACATTATTTCTGCCTGTTACAGGTTTAAATATTAGTCGTAATCTCATTTCACAATCTCCAGAAAAATCCACTTCCTGATAGTTTCACATCACTTGGAACCATTATTGTTTAGTCAGTGTATCAATGTAAAAAAAAAAAAAAAGAAGAAGAAGAAAACAGATTCACAGTGGCTCTGCTACATGTTCAGGTTCATGTTAGTCTTTTCCATGCTGTAGGACCTACCATTTTGCCTGGGGCGAAGGGACAGCTGACAGAAGCCTGAAACCTGGCTGAGAGCCCATGTAGCTTCTTCTAAAGTGGAGTCCTCCAACACCATCTTCAGAGCTTTGTTATTTTGCTCATGCCTGACCTGCAGAACAAAAACATGATGTGGGACCTTTTCATCACATGCATATTTATCACCTTTATCCTCTCTAAACTCACCTCCACTATCTGCGCCCCAGGGGAGATGCCAACAGTATGGGCAGCACTGCCTTCAGTCACCTGGTGCACAAACACCCCCGACTTATTTCCTCCCACTACAGTTATCTGGCTAAGCAGTGCCTCACACTGGAGGGAGATGCTGAGAACACGGCCGTTTACACGTATCGCTTTTGGACGAGAGCGCACAAGGAAGGGGGGGGCTGAGCTTCTGGAGAGGCTGAGAAGAAGAGAGAAAGCCGGGATCAATTTTCAGGATTGTTTTATTCAAAAATTTCAATCTTGCAAAATATTTGTTCAAGGGCAAATTTTTTTCTATAACAAATCAGTTTTAAAACTACTGAGACACACTACAGTACATAGCGTTATTAATGAAACTAAAATGCCTGTTTTTGTTTTTCAATTGAAAGGTTTATGCTTAAAACTTTTACACTTCATCATTTAGTGTGTTACAATCAACCTGGCTTCTTCTTCAGGTAACAGTACCAGCAAATTCAGGCCAGATTATCAGTGGACTCCTCACCAGACAGAGCTACGAGTAGAGGGAGATCTGGGTTTCTGTTCGTCTTCACCTCCTGCTGAACAAAAGAGAGCTTATAAAGTGAACTCTCACCAGGATTGTTTCCACCCGCCAATAATATGCTAGAGTTCATGTCTCAATTTTCCATTTTGGCAAAGTTTGGCAAAGTAACAAAGGTCTTTTGACTCAAGAGAAAAGTATTAAACACTTAAAATAGCTCACTGTAAGAAAGGTTTTGTCCCACATACCATCAGGAAGGAACACAAATTCATCCAGTAGAGAGTCAGTCTCCGCTGCCTCCAAACTACATGAGGAAATGAAAAAGCATGAACTTTGGAAATATGTATGCAGAGCAAAGTCTTAAATAGCTCAGATGAAATCATGCAACAGCACAGAATGGTTTACTAGGGAGCAGTAATTATTGCCTCTGGATGATAAAACTTAAGCTTTTGGCAAGCTTCCCACTGAGCATTCCCTTAGGCTACAGGGACACAACTAATAAAACATTTTGCTTCTAAGACTGCATGACTTGTACCTCACATTCCTGTGAATTAATAATCCACTGGAGCCACAGGTTTCAACAGTACAGGAACAATGCAGTGGAAAGAACAGCTCAAATATCCCTTTTCAGGTTTTTAAAATGACTCATTCAAAGTTACTTTGGAGGCTAAAAAAAAACAAAAAAAAAACACACATCGGCCAAAAAGACGCAGACATACCTGCTGTCTTTGTATAAAATTTCCTGTCTTCGACGGAGAGACTCTGGACTGGGTGGCTCGACACCTTTGGATCGGACACTGGTCGGCAAAGCATTTTCTGACTGTAGGATAAAAATAAAGAAAATATCAAAATAATGAGAAAATTAGAGCACTCAAAATTTCTTAGTTTCTGCTAGCATAATGTTTCATTGTTGTCTATGTAGTTCAAGTAAAACTGCAAATTGTATTCAGCCCTCGGTACTACATTGTTCATAAGAAATAAATGTCTACTACCTGCCTATACAAATACAGTTCAGCTGTCGGTAAAATATATGCAGTATCGTTCAGCCCTGAGCTTTGTTGGAGAACACTGGAGAACAAAAAGCATCTAGGAAGACCAAGGAACCAAGGAAAGGGGTCAGAGAGAAGGAGGTAGAGAAGTTTAAAGCGGTTGAGCAATAAAACTATATCTCAAACTTTGAGCAGCTAAACTTTTCAGTTAATCTTTCATAAACAGGGATAGGTTTGGAAGAACAGCAAATTTATCAAAATGTAGCCTTTCGCTTAAACTGAAAGGGCAGACAAACAGGACATTAGTCAGAGGAACAGCACAGAGGCCCATTAACTCTGGGGGTAAAAAATCAATAAACAGAACAACTTAGTGGTAAATTCCAGCAATCTACTCATTATGGAGGTATGGCAAGATGAGAGTCAGCGTGGAAAGACAGGTACTCATGTTTGCAGTTCTTCTAAGGCTATGCATGAGGCACAGAGTAATTATTAATCATGCTGTTAGATGTTTGTACTCAACAGGGAAGGGAAAGCTGCTCAGAGTTATTGAGCTCATTAACATAGTCGTGTATGAAGCAGCAACGAGATTATGTTTTCATTTTGAAAATATATCAGTCAAAGTTTAAACTCAAATCCAACTGAGACTTTAATGTGGCCAAAAAAACATTCCAGATGTGCATAGCTGATTAGGGGAAACCACAAATAGATTCACATGAGAGGGACAAATAGGAATGATAATGAAATAAGAAAAACGTGAAAAACTGCTACTTTGTGTATGTCTACAACATATAGTTGCAATCATTGTAATAACATTTAAGGAGTTTAAAGTTTAGAAAAACACCTAAAAGTAATAAAGCATTCCTTAAAATAGAGAGACATACTTCTGAAAGACAAGAACTTAGGGACATGGGGTTGAGAGCATCCATGCGTCGAAGCCTTCGTCGAACAGGAAGCAGACATTCTTCAGAGCTGGAGGTTTCGCTGTCCCAGCTCCTCTCCTTCACCTTTAATTACAACCCCATTGCGTTAGTGGAGTCATATTAGTGCCTGATGGGTTTGCGTTTACAGAATGTGATCGTTCTTGAGTTTATAAACATACATCCGAGCTTTGTAGTTTGATCCTAGGGCTCCGCTTAGCTTGAAGCGCAAAGACGGCCTCCTGGAGCTCCACCAGCTGACTCCTCAATGTGTCCTTCTCAGCCAGGATGCGGGCGATCATAGCCTGGGCATCATCTCTGGACTGGTAGGCCTAGTTAAAACAAAAAACGGATACAGATGCATTGCTGACTCTGTTGGGCCAGATTGCTGATTTATTCTGAAAAACATCATTATTATTACAATTTTAAAAAATTGTTATTTGCTATCTACAACCTGGAATGCAGATATGCAAGGGTTTGTTTAAATGCTTCTATAAGATGGCAAATGCTGGCTAACATCTACTTCCTTTTTCATTTTTTTTTTATTTACACAAATCACATAAAACTGCAAACTATTTAAAATGTAATCTAATACATGCTATTATGTAAATACAGTGGTTTATATAAGGTTACCCAGTTTACCCAGTTATATTATAGGTTATTATTATTACTAGGGATGGGAATCGAAAACCGGTTCCTGTTCAGAACCGGTTCCGTATTTTCCGATTCCATGGCATCGTTTGGCAGCTCGCTGAACGATTCTTTTTTCGATTCCCGCAGCACCAGAGCCTAGAGCGCCGGCTCTGGGGAGCACGACTTACGTCACGTTTTTTTACGTACGTTACGTAAGTTACGTAAGTTACGCAAGTTACGCAAGTTGGAAGAACTATTCGAGGAGGAAGACAACGAGCTGGGGTCACTTTGTGAATCAAAGCCCCGTCTTTCCTTAGCCCAGAGGGTAGATCAGGAAATCCAGCTCTATAAAAGCTTGCCCTCCATCCCCTGCAGGGATAGCGCCACACTGTGGTGGTGGAACAAGCAAGATGTGCTGCCCTTGCTATCTGGACTGGCTGAAAACTACCTCTGTGTGCAGGCTTCCTCCACCCCATCTGAGAGGGTGTCCTCCATGGCTGGAGACACCATAAGCCCTGAAAGATCCCGTATCCTTCCAGAAAAAGCAGATATGCTCATCTTTCTGCAAAATAACTGTTAATTTTCCCTACTACTGTTTTATAATTAGTATTTTTTGTTATTTAAAATAGGTTATTATCCCATCATTTGTTATTAGACATTGTTGGTTATTAAGTTTGTTCTTGTATTAATTTTTCATTTAAACACAGATGTTACTCCAGTTTCACATTTCCTGTGGACATCTTGATCTTGTTGATTTTGTAAGATTGTGCAATAGTTAAGTAAACACAGTTGATGCTGATAATCAAACTGTTTGTTCTCCTTTTTTCCCCAAATTGGAATCGAAAAAAGAATCGATAAAGAATCGAATCGTTTCATAGAATCGAAAAGGGAATCGGAATCGTGAAAATCTTTTCAATTCCCAACCCTAATTATTACGTTGTCATACTTTAGTGATAAAGTAATAAATCACTTAAGAATAAGAGATGGTTTTCTTAGGAGATAACAGTGTTTTTAAAACACAGGATTAAAAAGTAATGTATGATTTGAATAAAAGAATGTCAAGCATGAGCAGTTTATTACACTCAGGAAGCGTCACACAGTGAGGTAGACTGATGACACTAAGGTGCGGTCACATTCTACATCTGCGTTTTTCTTAGAACAGAGATAGTCTTACAAATAGCAGCCAAAGGGAGGAAAGTGTGCAATAAAGCATGCTTTCCCTTCAAATTAAAACACAAACCTTTCTGCCTAGATAGATGATTTTTTTTTTTTTATTAAATTATGCTACAGTGTTTGCTCATCCAAAAATAAAAACTTAACACTTAAATTAGAATAGGAACGTAAGGCAAGCTTAAAGCAAACAGCTGAAAAGAACACAAAAGAGTTTGATTACTCAAACTGTTGGTATGTTGCATAAGTGAACAATGAGAATGTTATTACAGGCGACCAGTTCCAGGTGAGCATTGCAGGTAAAGTATAAATCAACAGGCATATTAAGGGGGTATTAAGGCGGAATAGTTAGCTACCTGGTCTCTCTCAACCTGAAGCTCCTTCATCTGACTCTGAACCACAGTGCTCTTCTGCTGATGCATTTTACAGTCCAGAGAAAGCTGCTGCACCTGGAGGCTCAGAGTCTCTGTTTGATCCAGGAGCTAAAAAAAAATCAACAACCAAAAATTTTTCTTTAAGAACATGCAAAATATCAGATGCAATTTTTGTCGCTAAGCTAATGTGTTTATTATTATGAAAAAAAAAAACATAATTTTCCTCTGGTTGAAGGATGAATTCACCTACGTCATGGTTAATGTTATTTGTTTCTACTTTACTCATGGCATGTTGCATTTATTATCCACATCAGCAGATTTGGGTAGTTATATTTACTCATTGGAAGAATTGTAACAGTTGTTTAGTATGTATGAAAGACAGACATGAATCAACAATGACCTCTTCATGGTTAAATGAACATACAGTTTCGAACTCCAAAAAAAAAAAAAATTAAAGGTCACTCTACCTATAAATGAGTGACCTTTATCCTTATAAATGTTAAACCAAATTTGCATACTTTTCCCAGATCCCATATTGATGGCGGAACACATACCCCTTGTTTTTCTCTCAGCAACTTTTCATTTTCTTCTCTGTAGCTCTTTAGGTGCTCTGCAAGCTCCACCTGACTGTTAATTGCCTCTGCTAGGTCCTGTTCCAGGATGTCCTCATGAGCCTGACAGGTTCAAAGCAGACAAGGAAATATCATGAAGAGAGAAGGAACTGCTGATGCTTTCTCTTTCTAAAATAAATTGGGGAAAAAACATAATAATGCCTGATTATAGAGGTTTCTGACCTCCTGCAGCTGTGGGGTGTGAGAAGAGAAAAGATTTCGAAGGGAGCGCTGTTTGTGGAACTCCTTCTCCATCTGAATATTCTGGAGCTCCGTCTGCAGCTGATATACCTGTCATCAAAGACCAATAAATGCTAATGTTCTTAATCACATGCCATGAACTGATTTAGAATAAAGCTGATTTTAAATACCACAGTGCTGTCTGTTTTACAGAAGCCTTTTATGTTTTTCTTGTTTTTACAGCACTAGTGGCTTGTTTTTTATGAACAGTAGGCTGATAAGAAAGTGGGTACAAGAGAGGGGGAGAGACATGCGGGAAAGGACTACAGGATTCAAACCCGGGTCGCCTGCGTTGAGGACTGAGGCCTCCATACATGGGTTGTGTGCGCTAACCACTACGCCACCAAATCACACCCGATTACAGAAATCTTAAAGGCATTTTTCCTCTGCACAGCCCTATTCCCATAACAAAGAAAGGGGTTAATCAAAGCTTTGAGTCACACAAAACGAAAAAGGATATGATTCCTTTCTACTCAGGGGAACTTATAAAAGCTGAAAGACATCAAAGTTTTGAAAAAAGTAATCAAATAGAGGTAACATTTAGTCTTAGAGGGGGCAGCAAGTCAAAAGCCAGAGCAGAGAGTCATGACATGCCTTAGTGTTAAACCCTTTGAGTGGTCATTATCACTAGAAAACGCTTAATAAATTAAGTCTATCTACCTGTGACCTTTAATCAAGCCTTCCTATTAAGTAAATTAAATATGGCTAACCTGGCAACACAGGCAGTTTATTAGAAAAGTGAGAAGATAAAAACAAGAGGCAATAAAAATGAGAGAAATGGAGAAAACAAAAAAAAGCAAAGGGTGTTGTTGTTTAGGACTGAATCTATGCAGTCGAAGTAATAGGTCTGCAGTTATCATGAGAAGACTCTAGAGGTAGACAAACTTTTTAAGAAGCATAAATTCTACATTTCCATGAGAAGATGGCAGTAATACAGATCATCTATAAAAGAAGAAGATGAGGAACAAGAAGCACTTGACTTTTATTAAAAATCTTTAATAAAACAATAAAGCCAGTTACTTATTATAGTGTACACAACCACTCAACCACGTTTGCTGTCGCATGTTGATATAAGGAACCTGAATTTGTTTATTTGTGATCCTGATTTAAAAAAATAATAATAATACCATGTTAAAATGCACTTTCCTATCTTTTTAGATTGGATACCTATTTTTTAATTATTCTATCTATACAATCTATACATGCGTAATACCGAAATGATTTAGGTCTGGGCCGGTTCAAAAAAACCTCCGTGTGAAGAACAAACATGAGTTACTATTCAGAAATACTTATTGAATGAGAAAATGTGAATGAATGTGCTGTTATAATAATCAAGTTCTTGTGACATGTTTTGGTCAAAATACCTAAAAAAGGTGAAGTATCTCCTTTATTAAAAATATCTCTTGTCAGACTAATGGGTTTCAATGACTGTAAGCTTAGTCACCACACCAACTTCTACCCACGCTTTCTATCTCCAGTTCAGCTACAGATCATTGTAATCCTTGTCTGTGTAAATTCTCAGTAATTCAGGTCATGACGCAGCAACGCGCTTAAACTGACTTTCTCTCAGTTTTTCTGAAAACGTTTCAACAGTCTTTGCTATTCTGCTGGCTTGCACTAAAGCAAAGGTCAGACCTATGATGACCACAATGTCCAGATTTTGGAAAGAGAGGACAGATGTTTTAAAAGAGGGTTCAAGGAAGCCATCTTTGTGAATCCCTGAAAGGTGGTCTGCGGTTTCATCTTCCATGCATCTTCAATTCCTGGAACGCATTCCAAAAAAGATTGCACAAACAATCAATATGATTCAGATGGCCATACACCAAAATAGACTCCAACATTCCAGGACGAAAACAGGTGGGATTTTGGTTTCCTGTTAAAGTAAGCATTGCAGGCTGCAGCGATGGCAGAGAGGTGAAGACTTAGCTCTCCTTGGTTCAGATCCCAACCTGGACACCTACAGGTTTTCTGCATGACTCTCTCCACTTTCTTCCCTGTCTGTTTGCTGATAAATAAAGGCCACTTGGGCCATAAAAGTTAAAAAACGATATAAATCCGGCCACAGCTAAAGAGAATTTTCTACAAAGCTTCCTAATTCTCGATATGCACCCCACCCAGGCTCAGCTTACAACAAACAACAGGATAGTGAATCACATTTATGTAGATGACACACAGGTGCACTTTACATTGTCAGCAGTTAACTATGAAGCCATTCAAGCGCTGGAATAAAGGCACAGAAGAAATCAATGCATGAATGCGTCAACATTTCCTTCTGTGGAATAGAGAAAAAAACACCTAAAATATCTATTTTTGTACCAAAGAGGGAACAATAAAAGCTCAAATCAAAGTCCAATTATTTTTTGTTGAGTTGTCTGACTTTTTGTACAGTAGTTGAACTATTACCTGAAACATCACTAATTTCAGTCTAAGGTCTAAATTTATTTTTCTTCATTACACCTCTGCAGCCTACTTTGTGCTTTCTTTTCCTATGCATATAAAGCACATTAAACAGTGTTGTTGCTAAAATGGGCTATACGAATAAAGTTTATCTGCTCATTTCTGATGTAGCCCAATCTGGAATATTTAGAACATACAGAAGAGCTGAGTAGAATATAGAATATGTTAAGATTGGTGCTATACTAAATGAGTCTATGCAAGTGTCTTAGACCTTATGTTGACAGCTTTCACTATATTGGGTTTTGAAGATTTGCAGAAACCCTTGTCTATTTGCACCTTAATGAACTCCCTATAAGAGCCTAGTTGTTGTTAATCTAGGATGGAGTTAAGGGGAAATTCAGGCTCCTATAATTCCATCTTTTTATTCCTTTTTAATTTTGATGTATTTTTTATATGATGTTATTAGTATTTCTGTATTTATACATCATTTGCAAAAATACTTAGTGTCTGTATGTACCTTTCACATTAAAAGTAGTATTAGAAATTTTAAACTGAAAAATAAATACATCTTTGTTAAATTTTGCATTCATAAGCTAGAAAACAGATATCAAAGATTATTCTTACTTTGATAGAATATATGCATCAATTTGTTGTTTTTCTGTAGCTTACCTGCAGGTTCAGGTCGTGGAGCCGGCCGTTAAGAGCAGATTTCTCTTCAATAGCAACAGTGTAGCGGATGTATAGATCACACTTTTCATCCTTCAGCTTGGTAACTTCCCGTTGCAAGGAACTCAAGTGTCTCTGCAAACGTCCGTTTTCTGCCTGAAGGTTCCTGGACTTCTCTTCCTGCTCCATCAGTTGTCCAACCTCCGACTCCAAGGAGGAGCAGCGTGCGCTCATCTTGCCTGCCTCATTGCGGGCCTCCTGCAACTCTGTCTGCATTCCTGTTACCGCCCTGATCAGGTACTCAGTGAGCTCCGAGTACTTGATCAGACCTGTGAAGAAGAAAAGATCCTGTACTGCTTGTACATCACAGAAAAGACATCTTCTAAAAATGTAGGAAGGTGTTTCAGGTAACTGACCACTGAATCTGGAGGGCTCTGTGCTGGGCTTACGTCCTGTAACTTGGGTGTAGAGAGTTGGATAATGGATCATCAGGCCCTCTAACAGAGCTATAGCTCCATTTCTTCCTTGTGTTCTCAACAGATCCAACATGTAGCCTAAAAGAAGATACAATCATCGTCTTAATACCTCGAATGCAGTTTTACAGCATAAAAATATCAGCAATCTAACTACTGCAGGGACACCAAAGAAATGATAATTGATGTTTTTTTTCTACACAGCACGTCCCTGTTCCAGTTGTGCATACCTTTGTCAGTCTCAGAACTTCTGAGATTTAAGATAAACTCAACAGCTGTTTTTTTTCTTTTTCCACATCATTTTGAAATGTGTCACTTTGAATTAGGAAATTGTTTTCAGACAATGTAAAACAGTTTTTTCTGTCTTAATCGATTTGAAGTTATCTGCGCTTTTACAGATTTTTTGTTTTTGCTTAATTTGGACACAGTAAATATTTCAGATCATCAAATGTTACTCTAAGACAAATAACTATTTGATTCACTCTCAAAAAGCACAATATAATTTCCTATAGCCATTATCATGTCTCTTTAAACCAAAGGGAAGCATGCAAGAAAAATGATCCCTAAATTGCAAACAAAGCTAACAAAACAAACAGAAAGAAAAAGCAGAATGTCCATCTATAGAGTTAAATATCTTCTTATCCCTAAACTTGACTTGCATGCTTAAAACCTACCAATGTTAGTGAACAAAAACACATCTTCAAAGAGGAGTAGGCCGAATTCTTTAACAATATTATATAACTCTCAATAGCAATTATCACAAATCATTGATGGCAACTGTTGCCACATACACAATAACATAACCTGTTGTTAGGTTTAGGTGACCATTAGTTTTCACGCAGGGTCATGCTGGACAGGCTAACATTTTCCCTTAATAAATCAAACTGATATTTAACATTTTTGCATTTACTCTGGTAATCTTTGTCTCACAACAAACAACTGAAAAATGTAAAACCTGAAACAAACTGAGGATCTCTGTGATGAGGGGAACTACTGCTTAGCCCCTCTGTATAAATTTGATTGCCTCATGCCATATATTAGATCAAATAAGAATCCATAATTTAACAGTTCTAAACGGTGAAATCTTCAGTTATTCTAATCATTTTCAGTAGATCTGGCTTTCCTTTCATAATGAAGACCTAAAATAGAACATTTAGTTAGCTTACTTGTTCTCATGCAGCGGTTAGTCAGATTATGACAGGAAAGGATCTCATCTTCATCCACCTCAGTGAGAACCTTAACCTGCCTCAGATACGGGATCAAGATGCATGGTCGGACCCCTAAGGAGATCCGGTGGCGGTTGTCATTGATCAGCTCCCAGAGTTCCTCATCGCTCATCTCCTTCAGGTTTGGACCCTCTGGAACACACTCCCCGGCCATCCTTAGTGTGTTTCTTCACTTATGTGAACACACAGCTGCAGCCGGTGAGGTGACAACCAACACACACAGACCTCTACAGCAAATCAACAGGCTGAGTGAAGGAGCCACACAAAGTATGATTTAAAAAAAGGCAGGGTAGTTTCCACGCCCTGGTGTTTATTTCAAGCATGCATATGTGGGCGTGTTGGAAAACCTGTGTAACAACCTTTGTGTTGCAGCTTAGCTAGAGGCTGACAAAACCATCTGTTAATGATAATAGACACCCACGTTTTCACACTCAGCCATATTTTAGGCACACTATTAAAAAACAAATTCAAATTCAGTATCATGAATAATAAATATCTTTACCACAGGGAATGACTAAAAACAATAGTTTTATTTATTTATGTTGTATTAAGACAGACACAATAGAGAATACGGGAGTACAGCTTAATAATCCCTAATCACAGCAGGGTAAACACAGATCATGCATCACAGACTGGAGCAAACACAGAAGTGCAGAGCAAAGTCCTCTTCCACAGAAGGATATAATACTACCAGGACAATGTGTTTTTCTTAGCCAAACACATAGTGTGTTAGTGAGAATGTATACAAACTGAAGCCGGTGTACATGATATATATGTGTAAAGGCTTCAAAGGAAGTCTATTATTAGCAAGCTCATATGCAGTAAAGAAGGTTGGGGAAAGCTTTTTTTTTTTTACACATAGCTTCCAATTGCACATTTGAGTTAACTCTAAATCCTATCCACTGACAAAGTCTTAAAGACTGATAAATGGTTCTAGTTTATGAAAGGCTGCTTCAAAGAAAATGATATGAAAATAGCCTTTCAATGCATAACCACAATGAAGAGTCAAAGTACATAAGCCAAGGATGTTTAACTGATTACTCTGATCTTATTTCCTGCAACCCAGAGATTTTTTTCTCTGTGTTTAGGATCCAGCATTTTGTAGGTTACTCGGCCTGGGTCAACATCATTATCTGCCTTATGTTACTCCAAACAGTAAAGGCAAAACAATATGGGGAAATTTCCTATAGGATATGAGAGGTTATGTAAAAGGTGGGTTATCATAAAGAAAATAGAGAAATAGCAGTTGAACGTCTCCATATTTGGAAACAGTTCAACTGAAGTTATACATTAACCTCGAACCATGGTTATCTAACAAGACAGTCACAGTTTGACCTGTCATTGTGAATCATTTGCAATTTTTAGAATGGCAGACTGCCATTTAGCGGACTGATTTGAACATATGACAAAGTCACCAATCTGAAAATGAAAACAAGAAAACAACTTTTTAAATAAGCACAGAAATCTTGAGATGCTAAAATATATTAGCAGCACATACTTTGTGCAACGGGAACAGTACGTTCCTAAGATTATTCATCTAAGACTTTATAGCTGTATATATATATATATATATATTATTTTTTTCTTCATCCAGGAAACTGTCTAAAGCCGAGCAATATGTGCAATATTTTCAGTCGTTACACGCAGCTACACAGCTCAAACTGTACGACAAAACTGGAGGGTTCACAGCTCACGATGCACTTTGAGACACTTAGGTGAAGTGCACCATAGATATTATATTTATTACTTATATCTTCATGAAACAACATGAATTAGAAGCTGATCTTTATTTTATGGCCACTCTCAAATGAAATAAAAAACATAATCTACTCATTTCAATATGGCAGAACCAAAACCAGTTTGCCTATCTTATCATTTTTTTGAGCATACTTTGTAGATCATCTGCAACACAACCAATGATTGCACGTGGAAAGAAATTTTTTTTGCACGTGCAGTTTAGCGCTCCTTAGTTGCAGTCATTGGAGATCAAGCCCTTAGCCAAGTTATATGAATAATCCAGCTCCCATTGCTACACTCAAGCAAGAAAATGCTGTGATCTGTAAGAAGATAAGAAAAACAAAGTAAACCAACCTTTGTCAACTTAAGTTAAAATCTTAAAATAAGGAAAATGGATGAAAATGTTTTTAATGAAGAAAATTAATTTCCTCACGTTAAGACATGCAAATCAAGTTTTTTTTAGGCTTAACCTGCAGTCATAAATATGCATAGGGGTTTGTTTTGGAAAATTAGAAAATTTCTTAGAGAAAGCCAGTTCCACGACATAGCCTCAGTGATTTTAAAATACCTTTACACTGTATTCAGCACGTAGTCTGCGTGCAGCCATCAAAGACGTCATTCAGCAGCTTAGTTTAAAAGGGAAAAAGGTTTAGACTCTAGATTTGGTTTAGATAAGTAGATGAACAATATAATTAAGAAAGAACTTTATAAAGTAAATGAAGTTTAATTATAAAGCTCCTTTCAAAGACAAAATGTTGCAAATACTGTACGAAGGAATCGTAATACCATAAAAACCACACAAGAGAGAATAAAATCAAGATACATAGAAAACACAATGGAATCCCAAAAATATATAAGAATAGAAAATATAACATTTAAGAAATAAAATGTAAACACGACAAAAATGCCTGTTGGAACTGAATGGTTTTTAATTCATTTTCAAAAATCTTCACAGAATCAGCAAAACAAAGTTTTCTTCCACACTCAATAAAGACAAGAAATGCCAGCTGCATGCTTTGCAGCAACTTAATGACAAATATAAAGATCAAACAACAAAAATGAATGAAATGAGAAAAAATTGGACTATATTTCCTAAATTTAATATTGATTCAATCAAAACAGCACAAGTTTAGTATCAATAGCCTTTAAATTGATAAGCTGTTTCAAAACTAGTATGTCTATTCTAGTAATGCATAAAGAAATCATCAAAAATCAAAAATGTCTGTCGGAACTGAATGGTTTTTAATTCATTTTCAAAAATCTTCGCAGAATCAGCAAAACAAAGTTTTCTTCCACACTCAATAAATATTCTAGTATTGCATAAAGAAATCATGAAAATAAACAAGTTTTTGGGGGCTTTTTTCTCTTTAGGCTCTGTATAATGCCTTGGTTATGCTCTATTTACAGCTGGGAAATTTGTATGTATGCCTCCACCACTTGTATCACATTGCAGAGCGCTTCCCTGTGCTCAGAGAGGTCCTCCCAGTTACGCTTGAAGATGTTTCTGTAAGCCTCCAGGGTCTGTCTTCGACTCTGCAGAGTCGCTATGACAGTTTCGTTGTTGGATGAGACTTTGTGTTTTCCCTCAAAGACTTCCTCCAATTTCTTGTTTCGATTCTGCAGAGCAATTAAGTAAGCTTGGCTCTGGAAAGAGGTGCAGAAAGATAAAGAGCATTTTCAGCTGGTTGGTGTTATATCTGTAACACATATACAGACAGATGAAACAATATGACATTATCTGAACCTCTTATTGTTAATGTAGGGGAAAGGTTGTTTAAAAATAGACAACTTAATACTCATGCCAGGAAATTCATTTGTGTTCACTTGACGTAGGAAAAATAATTCTTTAAAAGAAACGTTGTCATCACGCCTTCATTATGGCTATTGTGTAAGATGCAGTGATTCACTGATTGTGAAAGTCTTACAGCTGTCTGATGCATACCAACTGTTATTTCTAACTCAAAAAAATAAACAGTTAAAGGGATTGATTTTCATGAAAGCTTTTTAAGCCAAACATAGAACTCGGATAGAAGAGGTCCCGTGCAGATTTACCATCATCTTGTTGTCCTGGAGTTTCACCAAGTCGTCATCTAGTTTTGAGCTGGTGCAGGATAGTTCGCATAAGTGTTGCTTCTGCTGCTGAATCTTCTCACTCAGGATGGTTTTTCTGTTTTCCAGCTCCTTAATTACCAGTTCACAATCAGCAATCTCCTGAAGAGACACATCTAGAAAAATCAATGTTTGTCCAGTTTATATGAGGAGGTTGACTACCAAATTTCGTTTTACCTTGCGTGTTATTTTGATCTTTCTCTTAAGGCCCTGTATGGAACGACTCAGCTCTTCCTTTGTCCTCTCTTTGCGCGAACTTCGGAGCATGGTCTCCTTGCGCAGGTCAAGGTTTTCTCTTTTTGCCACAGCTAGCTCACTTTCCCTCATGAGCTGCTGTTGCTGTTTTTTCAGCTGGCTGATTCGTAACTGCACAAACATTAAACAGCATCCAAAGCAGAAATAAAAACTGATAAAAGATTTTTTTTTTTACTGAATTATGTGAGAAATAAAATTCAGCAATCTTTGTAATAGAATGGGAAACATGTCTGGTTATGTCTGAATAGGACGGAAAACTGATAAGTGGGTGTACATTTTATTTAAACCAACACTAATGAACTTTTCAACCTTTGTAAAATATTTTCATAACTTTTGTGATTATGTGTCGACAACTAGTTGCTATTCATCTTTCACTCAGCCACTGGAAACAGAAATGTAGTTCAGTACAACTGCAGGTGACCGGGAGATCAGGATTTTACAATGCTATGTATTGGTTCACATGGGAAATGGTGTCTTTCTTCAGGCACAACAATACAGCTTTTGTCCACTGGAGGGAGCCAAAATCGACCAAAATTGAAGGTAGTTTATTACTGCTTTCATCAATGTTTTGTTGCTGAATGCAGATGATGGCCCAGATAATGTTATAAATCTACAAAAGCCGAAAGCAATTCATGTGAGGGAGTGGCAGCCTAGTAGTTAGGGCATAGAGCTTGGAATCCGAAGGTTCTGAGTTTGAGCCCCATTCGCACAGCCTGTCGCTATGGTTCTCAAAGCAAAACACTTAGCCCCGATTGCTCCCTGGGCGTCCCACAGTGGCAGCCCACTGCTCCACAAGGGGATGGGTTAAATGCAGAGGTAAATTTCTCCAATGTGAAATCAATAAAGTTCAATTACTTAATATAGAGTGGCATTATTAGATTCACAACACAAAGATTGTGCTAAAACATTTATACCACTGCTTATGCTGCACCTTTAGAGTGCCCATAGCAAGTTTAGCTAGAAACAAAAATACTTATTATTTGTTCTTTTATCCATATATTTAAAGGTGGTCCTTAATGCAGGGATCCAAGTTTAAATCTTAGGTGCATCGGGAAGATAGGCAGTAGCTCTGTCATCTTAGCCTTTACCCTGACCAGAGATACCTCCAAGCTGTTACCTGGTTGAGCACGCTGCCTCTGAGTGCATGTCAAGCCTGGCTCTCAAGTTCTTCATTGCAAAGA